GGCCTCAAGTGCCCCTCCTGCCTCAGGCTCCCAAAGCACTGGGATCACAGGCGTGAGCCACCATGCCCAGCTTTCACTTTGCAATTTCCTAGCTTGTCTTTCTCAATTTCACACCAGTATCAGCCATTCAGGGAAGCCTAGGCTGACTGCTTCCTCCAAAGTGGATGGCTGCCCGCTGCAGCCTTCACAGGTCTGGGATACCTTTCACCTTATACTTCATACCGCATGCACTCGTTCCTTTAACAAAGATGGAAATAGCACAGGCACTGTGCAATTTCAGGGAGGAGTAACATGCAAAATAATCAAACAGGGCCAAGGGCCAGAAATGACATGGGTGTGGTCTGGGAAGGTTGCTCAGAAGATGGGACATTTAGGCAGATAACTAAAGGCGCAAAGGGGGCCAACCTTGGAGAGATGTGATAGAAGGGCTTTCCAGAACAGATAATAGCCAGTGCAAAGGGCATGAGGTTGAAAGTAAGATGAGATGGGCTGGGCGCGACGGCGCAGGCCTGTGATCCCATCACTTTGGGAGGCCGAGGTGGGTGGATCACAAGGTCAGGAGATGGAGACCAGCCTGGCTAACACAGTGAAACCCCATCTCTACTAAAAATACACAAATTAGCTGGTGTGGTGGCGGGCGCCTATAATTCCAGCTACTCAGGAGGCTGAGGCAGGAGAAACGCTTGAACCCTGGAGGTGGAAGTTGCAGTGAGCTGAGATTGTGCCATTGCACTCCAGCCTGGGCAACAAGGTGGAAAGTCTGTCTCAAAAGAAGAAAAAAATCATGCCACTGAATTCCAGCCTGAGCAACAGAGACTCTGTATCAAAGAAACAAAAAACAGGCTGGACTTGGTGGCTCATGCCTGTAATCCCAGCACTTTTGGGAGGCCCAGATGGGCAGATCACCTGAGGTCGGAAGTTCAAGACCAGCCTGACCAACATGGAGAAACTTCAACTACCCTGAAGTTGAAGGCCTGAACTGCAGCCTTGTGGGTTCAAGCGATTCTCCTGCCTCAGCCTCATGAGTAGCTGGAAATACAGGCACGGGTAACCATGCCTGGCTAATTTTTTGTATTTTTAGTAGCAATGGAGTTTCACCATGTTGGCCAGGCTGGTCTTGAACTCCTGACCTCAGGTGATCTGCCTGCCTCGGCCTCCCAAAGTGGTGGGATTACACATATGAGCCACTGTGCCCAGCTTATTATTATTATTATTATTTCAGACGGAGTCTCACTCTATTGCCCAGGCTGGAGTACAATGGTGCGATCTTGGGTCACTGCAACCTCTGCCTCCTGGGTTCAAGTGATTCTCCTGCCTTGGCTTCCCAAATAGCTGGGATTACAGGCACCTGCCACCACACCTGGCTAAGGTTTTGTACTTAGTAGAGACAGAGTTTCACCATGTTGATCAGGCTGGCCTCGGACTCCTTTTTTTTCCTTTTTTTTTTTTTTTTTGAGACAGAGTCTCACTCCATCACTAGGCGCCAGGCTGGAGTGCAGTGGCGTGACCTTGGCTCACTGCAACCTCCGCCTCCCAGGTTCAAGCAATTTTTCTGCCTCAGCCTCCCGAGTAGCTGGGACTACAGGCAAGCACCACCAAGCCCAGCTAATTTTTTTGTATTTTTAGTAGAGACAGGGTTTCACCATGTTGGCCAGGATGGTCTCGATCTCTTGACCTCGTGATCCACCCGCCTCGGCCTCCCAAAGTGCTGGGATTACAGGCATGAGCCACCATGCCCAGCCTAATTTTTGTATTTTTTTTCTTTTATTTTCTTTCTTTTTTTTTTTAAAGGTGATGGCCAGGCTGGTCTTGAACTCCTGACCTCAGGTGATCCACCCACCTCGGCCTCCCAAAGTGCTAGGATTACAGGCATGAGCCATATTTTTGTATTTTTAGTAGAGGGGGGGTTTTGCCATGTTGGCCAGGTCTCAAACTCCTGTCCGCAGGTGATCCGCCTGCTTTGGCTTCCCAAAGTGCTGGGATTATAGGCGTGGGCCACTGCACCCAACAACCTCACTCTCCAATTTATTTTTTGAGACAGAGTCTTGCTCTGTTGCCCAGGCTGTGGTGGTATCTCTGCTCAATGCAACCTCTGCCTCCCAGGTTCAAGCAATTCTGGTGCCTCAGCTTCCTGAGTAGCTGGGACTATAGGCATGTGCCACCATACCCAGCTATGTCTCCCCATTTTCTTTTTTGAGATGGAATCTTGCTCTTGTTGCCCAGGATGGAGTGCAAGGGCCGTTCTCGGCTCACTACAATCTCTGTCCCCCAGATTCAAGTGATTCTCCTGCCTCAGCCTCCTGAGGAACTGGGACTTCAGGGGCTCACCACTACACCTGCCTAATTTTTTTTTTTTTTTTTGAGACGGAGTTTTGCTCTTGTTACCCAGACTGGAGTGCAATGGCGCGATCTCGGCTCACCGCAACCTCCGCCTCCTGGGTTCAGGCAATTCTCCTGCCTCAGCCTCCTGAGTAGCTGGGATTACAGGCACATGTCACCATGCCCAGCTAATTTTTTGTAGTTTTTAGTAGAAATGGGGTTTCACCATGTTGACGAGGATGGTCTTGATCTCTTGACCTCGTGATCCACCCGCCTCGGCCTCCCAAAGTGCTGGGAGCCTCATGAGCCACTGCGGCCGGCCTAATTTTTTTATATTTTTAGTAGAGACGGGGTTTCTCCATGTTGGCCAGGCTGGTCTCAAACTCCTGACCTCGTGATCCACCCACTTTGGCCTCCCCAAGTGTTGGGATTACAGGCTTGAACCTGGCCATGTCCCCTTCTAAAGCGCCGGACTAAAATGAGGCTGGACGTGGTGGCTCACACCTGTAATCCCAGCATTTTGGGAGGCTGAGGCTGGAGGATCGCCTGAGGCCGGGAGTTCAAGACTATCCTGTGCAACATACTGAGACTTCATCTCCGAAAAAAAAAAAAAAGAAAAAAGAATTAGCTGGGCACGGTAGTGCATGCCTGTAGTCCCAGCTACTCAGAGGGCTGAAATGGGAGGATCACTTGAGCCTGGGAAGTTGAGGCTGCAGTGAGTTGTCATCTTACCCATTGCCCTGCCTGGGTAACAGAATGAGACTGTCTCAAAAAAAAAAAAAAAAAAAAAAAAAAAAAAAACACACCCCAAACAATATTTTTTTGCGCCGCGCCCCCACACTCCCACATGGGTCTCTAAATGTTCACTGAGTAAATGAATGCCTGAAGGGTGGAGCGAGAATTTGGCTGGTTTCCCCAGCTCCATCTGGGGAGGCAGCCTGGGACCTGGCAGGCAGAGAGGGAGGGCCCAACCCTGTGCAAGGTGGTTCCTGACAACCCAATCCCTCAGCCCCCCCGATACCTCGCTCTGCCTTGTCCTCCTCGTCTCTAGAATGGGTGGGCTGGAGAATTAGAGGGAGATACTTCGTTTCTCAGGGATAGGGCCATAGACATCCTGGCTTGATGATTGGGGTGAGGGGCTTCTCAGCTTACTCACCTGCAAAACTGGAGGAAAATAACTAGCTTGGGCCAAACTTGATGGCTCATGGCTGTAATCCCAACATTTAGGGAGGCCAATGCAGAAAGATTGCTTGAGTCCAGGCTGGATGGATTTTGGATCAGCATAATTCTCCTCCTCTCTTTCTGTCGTTAATATCCTCCAAAGAGTTGCTCAGAGGAAAAAATAAGAGCAAAAACATCGCGGCCTGGTTTCTGGGATGACGGAAACCACACAGAGCCACGCATAACCAAGGTACCCGCAGCCCACCGCGCTTCCGCATATCCCCAGAGGGCGTCAATGTGCTGGTACCGCCGCCAGGGAGCGCTCCCCGCCAGAGCCCTGGGAACATGGTTTGGCTCCTTCGCCTGGTGTCCGAAGGAGTGAGGGGTCCGACGGCGGCCACGAACAAAGGTCATGCTCTGCAGACCCCGGAGATCCTCTAGAAATTCCGCAGAGGCCTCCAACCTCCTCTTGGGCACAAGTCTGCATTTATGGAGCGCCATCTGCATGCAGCAGCCCCGAAAAAGAAGGCGGTGCCCATTTTATAGCGGGGAGAACTGAGACTCAGAGGCCACAGACGTCCCCAGGATGAACAGCGAGTTGGGATTCAAACCTCTTTTAATAACAATAACAGTAATAGACGCCGGGCGCGGTGGCTCACGCCTGTAATCCCAGCACTTGGGAGAGCGAGGTAGGCGGATCACCTGAGGTCAGGAGTTCGAGACCAGCCTGGTCAAACATGGTTGAAACCCCGTCTCTACTAAAAATACAAAAATTAGCCGGGCGTGGTGGGGCGCCTGGAATTCCAGGTTTCTCGGGAGGCTGAGGCAGGAGAATCACTTGAACCCGGGAGGCGGAGGTTGCAGTGAGCCGAGATCGCGCCACTACTGCACTCCAACCTGGGCAACCAAGCAAAACTCCGTCCCCAAACCAACAGCAAAACAACAAACAATAACGATAACATTAAAAGTGGCGGCAGCCAACACTTACTGAGCGTCTAGTGTGCTCTTGGCCTGCACTGTCTCACTGAATTTTACCGACACCCAAGAGGCGGGTGCCTCACTCCAATTTCACTGATGAGGTGCTCTGAAGGGTTTGGCTTCCCCAAGGCGTGGAGCGCTGGGATTTTAATGCAGATCTGCCCAGAGCTTGTCTCCAGGTAACGGGGAACCTTCCAAGCCCTTGAATAGGGGACCGCGGATGCAGGCATCCCGAGCCTGCAAATGCACCGGGGTGGGGTGGGGGGTTGTTTTTTCAGGGGTCCCGGGAGGCCCAAAGGCCTTGGCCGCTCTCCGCTTGAACGCGGGGAGCCGTTCTCCTCGGGTTCCCGCGCGCTCCAATGAGGGACCCCTCGGCAGCATGCGGTCGTCGCGGGACCCGGAAAAAGACAAGGCGGGGCGCCGATGGGGGCGCTCGGGGCTCGGGAGACGGAGGGGGCGGGCGGGCGGGACCCCGCAGCCCCGGGGGCCTCTGGGAGCCCCTCCCCACTCGGCCCCGCCCCCTCCCCGGGCGCGACCTCCGGGGTCACGTGACCGGGCCCGGCGGCCGCTGGGGCCGGAGGGCGCGGCGCGGGGACGCGGCGGCCTGGCCAGGCGGGGCCGGAGCCGAGCAGGCCGGAGCGGGCCGCGCGCCGGGGAGGGTCGCGCCGCGCCCGCCCCCTCCCCGCCGCGCCCGGGGCGCACGCGCGCTCCTCTCGCCGCCCCTCCCTCCGCGTGGGGACCCCTGGCGGGCGGCACGAGGACATGGCCAGCGACGCCGTGCAGGTAGGCGCACCTGCGTCTGGAGTCGCGGGGTGACCGGACGGCGCCGGGGACCCGGTCCGCGCGCTGCCGGGGGAGCCCCCCAGACCCCCGAAGCGGACCCGGGTAGCGAGGGCGGGGGCCTGCAGAGCGCCGAGCGCCCCCTCCCTGGGCCGTGACTGTGGAGCCAGCGAGGCCCGTTTCTCGGAAGGTGGCGATGTGGACGGGGCTGGTGGGGGGGCGATCCCAGAGGCAACCCCCTGCCGCACCCCCAAACTCGGCCTCTCCGGGAGAACTAGAAGGGGCGCGGCGGAGGCGCGACTTCGGGTGTCTGTGGCTGGCTGGGAGTCCCGGTGCCTCTCGTCCCCCCAAACTCATCCCCCTCCCCAGGGTTGGGTGCCCGGCAGGTGCCGCTCCACCTGGGCCAGGTGCCTGGCGCGGTGCCCTGGGAGGGGAGGAGGCCGCCGGGCCGGGCCCGTGCCCTTCCCCCGCATAACAAAGCTCCAGCCACCCCCGCCTCTAGACAGCTTTACGATCTTACAGACGCCACCCAGATTGGCACCTGTTGGCGGAAGTACCCCAGTCACTGCATTAGGTCAGGGGACTGGGGTCTCCCCACTTCCACGCTCTGTGCTGTCAGGTGGAACCTTCTCCTGAGTGGGGAGTGTCCCCGTCAACAGGCCGGGGATGCTCCCATATATAGAATCCTACTTTGCATGGTGGCTGGGCTGGCCTGGGTCACCCCCAGCCTCCCAACACACAGGTGACTGGCACCAGCATCCTGCCCAGCCAGATTCCCCCTGTGCCACCTGGTGGATATCACTGCCCTGGACTCACCACCTTCCCCGTCTGTGACAAGCAGGGCCAGGGTGACTACCAGCCTTCTTTGGTTCAAGTGACCCAAATCTGAGCAATGTCTGTGCCTTGGTGCCCCCATTAGCACCTCTCCAGCCAGTTCACCGTCCTGTGGTTGTTGTGTAACTGGGTTCTCGTCTCCTTCTGCACCTGCCCCCGGCCCCTCTGTGTCTCCCCCGTGACCCCTGGTCCCTCCCCCCTCCCCAGTCCTGCTGATGGCCTGCCGGCCTTGCCGAGGAGCTGGGCGTATCTGGTGTTGCCGATCACACAAGGTCAGACCTCAGGGCCGGGATGGGCCAGGGTCCCTGCCTCTACCCCTGGCCCAGAGTGGGCTGTGTAGGAATTCCCGGGCGCTTGCATGCGCTTGGCGCATCCCACACATGACCCAGGCAGGCTGTCCCACGCCCTGGTCCCCCGTTCCCATCTCCTCCCCTGTCTCTTCCCCGGTCCTGGTCTTTCCTCTCTCATGGCTGCTTGGGCCTGCCGCCCTGTCCCTCTGTCTGTCCCAACGTGTGCCTGTCTGTTCTGTGTCCTGCAAACGGATGTCCTGTCCAGATTCCGGAAACGCCCAAGGCATTGAAATCTCCGGATGTGGGGGTCTAGGTCCCTGGCTGCGCTGGCAAGTCGGGGATTCTGGGAGGCAGGTCCTCTGGGTCTGAGGTCTCCGCTCCATGGGGGAGCAGGGCTTCTCCATAGGCCAGGCCAGGCCCCTGAGTCCTGGGTTTGCCTTGCTGGCCCTCAGGTGACCCCAATGCCCTGGGTAGAAGTGAGTCACATTCAGGGGAGGAGAACCCAGGAGCCCAGCCTCCCTCCCTCTCTGTGTTACAGACCTCAGCTGCTGGAGGTGGGGCTGAGGGAGGCTACCTCTCCTCTCTGCCTGGACTTCCCCAGTTGAGCTGGCCCTGCTCTTGGCTGTGTCCTTGCTCTGCCTGCTGGGATTGGGGTGGGGCCTGACTGAGCAAGGGTGGTATTTGGTGAGCCTGGGTTTAAATTCCAGTGCTGACACTTCCTTGCTGTGTGTCCTGGGCCCAGTGCCTTCGCCTCTCTGAGCCTCGGTTCTGACCTAGGAAAAATGGGACTAAGAGGGTGTTCATGGGAGAGAGAGACCAAGACCTGGCTAGCACTTGGCAGGCGGGGCTGCGGTGAAGGCGTTACTGGTAAGCGTCCTGGTCAGCGGCTCAGGGTGTGAATCTATGTGCTTAGTGATTTATTTACTTATTTACATTTATTTATTTTGGGGGAGAGAGTCTTCTCTGTCACCCAGGCTAGGAGTACAGTGGTGCTATCCTAGCTCACTGCAGCCTTGATTTCCGGTGCTCAAGTGATCTTCCTGCCTCAGCCTCCCAAGTAGCTGGGACAAAAGACACAGACCAACACACCTGGCTAATTTGTTTTTATTTTTATAGAGACAGGGTCTCGCTCTGTTGCCCAGGCTGGAGTGCAGTGGTGAGATTCTAGTTCACTGCAACCTCAAACACCTGATCTACAGGACTATAGGCGTGCACTGCCACACCTGGCTAATTTTTTTCCTTTATTTATTTTGTTAAATTAAGACTGGGGTCTCACTCTGTCACCCAGGCTGGAGTGCAGTGGCATGATCTCTGCCTCCTAGACTCAAGCCATCCTGCCACCCCAGCCTCCTGAGTAGCTGGGACTACAGGTGCCATCTGGGCACCACCATGCCCAGCTAATTTTTATATTTTTAGTAGACAGGGCTTTGCCGTGTTGCCTAGACTGGTCTTGAACTTTTGAGCTCAAAGTGACCTGCCCGCCTAGCCTCCCACAGTGCTGGGATTACAAGTGTGAGCCACTGCACCCAGCCTTTCTTTTTTTCTTTTTTGAAAAAGGCTCTGTTGCCCAGGCTGGAGTGCGGTGGTGTGATCTTGGCCCACTGCAACAACCTCTGTCTCCTGGGCTCACCCGAGCCTCCCATCCCAGGGCTCCCAAGTAGTTGGGAGTACAGGCACACATCACCACACCTGGCACATTTTTGTATTTTTTGTAGAGATGGCATGTCACCATTTTGTCCAGGCTGGTCTGATCTCAGGCAATCCTCCGGCCTCATCCTCATAAAGTGCTAAAACTGTTGGCAGTGCCGTCATACCCGGCCAATACTTTTTTATATTTTGTAGAGATTTTTTAGGTCTTGCTATGTTGCCCAGACTGATCTCCAATTCCTGACCTCAAGCACTGCTCCTGCCTCAGTCTCAAAAGTGCTGGGATTACAGATGTGAACCACTATGCCTGGCCAAATCTATGAACCTTTAACCGTAGGCTTCTCAGCCTCAGCACTGCTGACACTGAGGGCTGGGTTGTTCTTTGCAGTGGGGGCTGTCCTGAGTACTGCAGGGTCCTGAGCAGCATCCCGGGCCTCACCCTGATAGAAGCCACTTCCCTACCCACAGTTTGACAGCCAAAAATGACCCTGTATGTCACCACATTGTCCCTGTGTTTGGGGAGGAAATCTCTCCTCCATTGAAAACTACTGGGTTACTGGCCAGGCACTTGTAAGCTCAGCACCTTGGGAGGCCGAGGCTGGCCGATTACTTGAGGTCAGGAGTTCAAGACCAGCCTGGCCAATGTGTGAAACCTCGTCTCTACTAAAAGTACAAAAAATAGCTGGGCATGGTTGGCACGTGCCTGTAATCCCAGCTACTCAGGAGGCTGAGGCAGGAGAATCGCCTGAACCAGTGAGTTGGAGGTTGCAGTGGGCCAAGATCACGTCAGTGCACTCCAGCCTGGGCAACAGAGCGAGACTCCGTTTCAAAAAAAACCCCAAAAACAAAAAAACCAACTACTGTTACTTCCTTGAACCTCAGCTTCCTCACCTGTGAAGTGGGGAGATTGTTGGCAGCTACTCAGGATGATTAGGGAGGGTTGGGAAGATGGTGGGAGTGATACACTTGGTGTGTGTCATTCCTCCCTAGGGCAGCTGCCCTTGAGATCAGTCACGGGCCAAGGATAACATTCCTCGGCTGCGAAATGGATGCTCCCAGCTGAAGGACATAATGCCAGGGGGCCATTTCCTAGCCAGCATTTGTAATCTGGGTGCTCTCATTTCAAATTGAGGCGGGGTGGGGGGGTGGGGGGGATTCACACCTGTAATCCCAGCACTTTTGGAGGTCAAGGCAGGAGGATTGCTTGAGCCCAAGAGTTTGAGATTGGCCTGGGCAACATAGTGAGACCCCAGGTCTATGAAAAATACAAAAATTGGGAGCTGGGTGCAGTGGTACACGCCTGTAATCCTGGCACTTTGGGAGGCTGAGGTGAGCAGATCATGAGGTCAAGAGATTGAGACCAGCCTGGCCAACATGGTGAAACTCCGTCTCTACTAAAAATACAAAAATTAGTCAGGCATGGTGGCGCGTGCCTGTAGTCCCAGCTACTCTGGAGGCTGAGACAGGAGAATTGCTTGAACCTGGGAGGCAGAGGTTGCATCAAGCTGAGATTGCACCACTGCATTCCAACCTGGTTTTTTTTTTTTTTTTTTTGAGACGGAGTTTTTGCTCTTGTTACCCAGGCTGGAGTGCAATGGCCCGATCTCGGCTCACTGCAACCTCCGCCTCCTGGGCTCAGGCAATTCTCCTGCCTCAGCCTCCTGAGTAGCTGGGATTACAGGCACGTGCCACCATGCCCAGCTAATTTTTTTGTATTTTTAGTAGAGACGAGGTTTCACCATGTTGACCAGGATGGTCTCGATCTCTTGACCTCGTGATCCACCCACCTCGGCCTCCCAAAGTGCTGGGATTACAGGCTTGAGCCACCACGCCCGGCCATCCAACCTGGTTATAAAGTGAGACTCCATCTTAAAAAAGAGAGAGAAAAATACAAAAATTAGCCAGGTGTGGTGATTCGTGCCTGTAGTCCCAGCTACTCGGGAGGCTGAGCTGGGAGGACCGTTTGAGCCTGGGAGGTAGAGACTGCAGGGAGCCTGGATCACACCATTGCACTGCAGCCTGGGAGACAGAGTAAGACCCTGACTCAAAAAAAGAAAAAAAAAAAGTTACCTGAGATATTCAACCTAATTGTAAATTAGCTTCATATTAGGTATTTTTGCCCAAATGTAGGCTTGGATAAGTGCTCTGAGCACATTTAAGGTAGCAAAGGGGGAACTGTGATGTTTGGTAGATAAGGTATATTAAATACATTTTTGACTTAAGATATTTTCAACTTATGATGAGCTTATCAGGAAGTAACCCCATCATAAGTTGGCGCATGTCTGTAATTGTTCTTGAACATTACCATGTATTTAGCAAGTGGTTTTGTAGGCTGTTGATTTGGGGCATTCTTTTTTTTTTTTTTTTTTGAGACAATTTCACTCTGTCACCCAGGCTAGAGTGCAGCGGTGCGATCTCGACTCACTGCAACCTCAGCCTCCCGGGTTCAAGCAATTCTCCTGTCTCAGCCTTCCGAACAGCTGGACGTTTCACTATGCCCGGCTAATTTTTGTATTTTTAATAGAGACAGGGTTTCACCATATTGGCCAGGCTGGTCTTGAACTCCTGACCTCAAGTGATCTGCCTACCTCAGCCTCCCAAAGTGCTGGGATTACAGATGTAAGCCAACGTAACCAGCCTGGTTTTGGGAATTTTTTTTTTCTTTTTTAGACGGGGTTTTGCTCTTCTTGCCCAGGCTAGAGTGCAATGGCGCATTCTTGGCTCACTGCAACCTCTACCTCTTGGGTTCAAGCAATTTTCCTGTCTCAGCCTCCCAAGTAACTGGGATTACAGGAGTGCACCATCACGCCCAGCTAATTTTTTGTATTTTTAGTAGAGACGGGATTTCACCATGTTGGCCAGGCTGGTCTTGAACTCCCAACCTCAGGTGATCCACCCGCCTCGGCCTCCCAAAATGCTGGGATTACAGGCGTGAGCCACCATGCCTGACCGGTTTTGGGAATTCTTATCCCAGCCTCCCAGTGCTGTCCCCTAATCGAGTTTGCCCAAGGGAGGTGCCACCGGGCTGGTCAGGACCCTGGGCCTCTCAGCTACAGTCAACAACAGTTGGCCACTGGACTGAGAGGAAGCAGGAAGTTGGGACGGCCTGTCTGCAGGAAGGGGGCCTAGCCTCTGAAGAAGTGGCCCTTCTGACCCTGAAGGGGAAGCCGGGCAGGGACAAAGGGTGGTTGGGAGGGTCTGGGTGTAGGGACGTATGCAGGTAGTCACAGGGCTGGAGGCCTTTGGGAGCATGGACGCGCTGCGAGGGCCTCAGGGAGCGTGCATACGTGTGTGAGCATGTGCACATGCATGAGCATGTGGGCCGTGCCCTCTCAGGAAGGTGGGAGTGTGTCTTGTATGGGTTCTAGAGTGATGCCTATAAGCACTTGTATGTGTTTGCAAATAAGTGCATTGTATGTGGCAGGCGTGGGAATGGGTACCCTGTGAGCCCATGTTCCAGGCACACACCTGCAGGCATGAAAGTGCAAACACAGGCTGGCATGGTGGCTCACGCCTGTAATCCCAGCACTTTGGGAGGCCAAAGTGGGTGGATCACCTGAAGTCAGGAGTTCAAGACCAGCCTGGCTAACATGGTGAAACTCCATCTCCAGTAAAAATATAAAAATTAGCCGGGTGTGGTGGTATGCACCTGTAATCCCAGCTAGTCAGGAGGCTGAGGCGGGAGAATTGCTTGAACCTGGGAGGTAGAGGTTGCCGTGAGCTGAGATCGTGTCACTGCACTCCAGCCTGGGCAACACAGAGGGAGGCTCTGTTTCAAAAAAGAAAAAAAAGAAAAAGTGTGCAAACACTTGTGAGCTGTGTTCTGTGCACATGCTCATGTGTATGTGAAGGTGTGTGCAAACTTAACGTGAGTCCCTGGCGCCTGCATCCCCTCCTGGATACACCACGAGTGTGTGAATGTGCAGACTGCCTATACCTTGGACATTCTCTAGGGACAGGGAGCAAGGACTGTCCCTGGGTTTCATCTAGAGGAGCAGGCTTGGCCCTAGAGGTGGCTGATGGGAAGGTCCCTTAGATGCCCTGAAGTTGGCCCCACGCACAGGGTGCTGGGAGTTGACAGGAAAGAGGAAGTGGCGGCCAAGAGGCCCTGGTGGGGCTGAGGTTCAGGAAGAGGGCGGGGCCCTCAGCCCGGACCCAGGATGGCGGAGGCCGATACCCCCTCGGTGCCGGAGCTGGAGGTGGGGGCTGGGGTCCCTGTGGGGGCAGGCAGAAGGGAACCCCAGGTGGCATAGGCTGGTAGTTCTACCCCAGGTACCTCTCAGTTCGGGAACAAGGAAAGGAGATGGGGCACTGGCCTCAGAGATCTGTTTGGAGGATGAGAATATCCAGGGCCCTTCGGGGCTCCCAGGTTGGTGGAGAGACAGGAGGGAGACTGGGCGCTGCTCTTCAGGGCCCCAGTTGTTGAAGATAGGAGAAGAGCAGATGAGGCCTATCTTTAAGACCCCATAGTTTGAGGGTACAGCAGAGAGAAGACTCGGCCTGCCCTTGGGATGCTGTAGTTTGGGAGTGTAGCTGAGGAAAGACTTGGCCTGCCCTCGGGATGCCGTAGTTTGGGGGTGTAGCTGAGGAAAGACTCGGGCTGCCCTCGGGATGCCCTAGTTTCAGAGTACAGTAGAGGGAAGATGGGGCCTGTTCTCAGGACCCCATAGTTTTGGGGGTACAGCAGAGAGAAGATAGGGCCTGCCCTTGGAACCTCGTAGTTTGGGAGAGCAGCAGAGAAAAGAAGGAACATCATTTGGGACTCTCTAGTTTGGGGGAGGCAGCAGAAGGGAGACAGATCTTATTCTTGAGACCCCCTTAATGTTGGGGACACCGTGGTGATGGGGGTGATGAGGCTCTGCTCTTTTTTCTTTTTTTTTTAATGTACAGCAAAACTACAATCAGGAGAAGAGGCCCTGCTCTTGAGACCTCTCAGTTTGGGGGTGTGGTCAGGAAGCAGTATCAGGGCCTCGCCTCACCTTCTAGTTTTGGGAGTCAGAGGAGGTACAGCAGGCCTGTCATGGGAGCCCCAATCCAGGGCAGAGGCTGGGCCAGGCTGGCTGCATGTGGTCTGCACCCAGAGCCCTCCCAGCCCCACTGACCCTGCTCTGTCCCCCGTAGAGTGAGCCTCGAAGCTGGTCCCTGCTGGAGCAGCTGGGCCTGGCTGGGGCGGACCTGGCGGCCCCCGGGGTGCAGCAGCAGCTGGAGCTGGAGCGGGAGCGGCTGCGGCGGGAAATCCGCAAGGAGCTGAAGCTGAAGGAGGGTGCTGAGAACCTGCGGCGGGCCACCACCGACCTGGGCCGCAGCCTGGGTCCTGTGGAGCTGCTGCTTCGGGGCTCCTCCCGCCGCCTCGACCTGCTGCACCAGCAGCTGCAGGAGCTGCACGCCCATGTGGTGCTGCCCGACCCAGCAGCCACCAACGGTGAGCAGGGGTGCCCCCAGGGATGTGGGACTCCAGGGGTTCCAGTGCCCACTGGGTCACCCATGGTCTCCAGAGCCAGCTTAACCCATCTCCACAGACCCCCAGGGAGATGCATGCCATGACCCACCCATCCATCAACACCCAGAGAGGTGCACACAGCCACGCCAGCACGGGGTAACACTCAAGACTGTGCATCCCTGGCTTGCATACATCTTTTTAAACATTCTTTTTTTTTTTTTTTTTTCAAATAAATAAAAATACAAAAATTAACTGAGCGTGGTGGCGAACACCTGTATTTCCAGCTACTTGGGAAGCTGAGGCAGGAGAATCTCTTGAACTGAGGAGGTGGAGGCTGCAGTGAGCTGAGATCGTACCATTGCATCCCAGCCTGGGCGACAGAATGAGACTCCATCTCAAAAAAAAAAAAAGATGTGCCCTCCGTTGCCCAGGCTGGAGTACAGCTATTCACAGATGCAGTCATGATATACTATAGCCTTGACCTCTTGGGCTCAAAGGATCCTCCCAATCTCAGCCTCTCAAGTAGCTGGGACTACAGGCATGCACCACTGCTCCTGGCTAAATTTCCCTTTTTTTTTTTTTGAGATACAGTTTCGGTCTGTCACCAGGCTGGAGTGCAGTGGCGCAATCTTAGCTCCTTGCAACCTCCACTTCCAAGGCTCAAGCAATCCTCCTGCCTCAGTCTCCCGAGTGGCTGGCACTACAGGTGTGCGCCACTGTGCCCAGCTAATTTTTTTGTATTTTTAGTGGAGATGGGGTTTCACCATGTGGTCCAGGATGATTTCGATCTCCTGACCTTGTGATCCACCTGCCTCAGCCTGTCTCAAAGAAACAAAACGAAACAGCCGGGCACAGTGGCTCACAGCTATAATCCCAGCACTTTGGGAGGCCAAGGCGGACATATCACTTGAGGTCAGGAGTTTGAGACCAGCCTGGCCAACATGGCAAAACCCCGTCTCTACTAAAAATACAAAAATTAGCCAGGCGTGATGGTGCATGCCTGTAATCTCAGCTACTAGGGAGGCTGAAATAGGAGAATCGCTTGAACCCAAGAGGCAGAGTTTGCAGTGAGCTGAGATCGTGCCACTGCACTCCAGCCTGGGTGACAGAACGAGACTCCATCTCAAATAATAATAATAAAGAAAAGAAAAGAAAATTTTATAGACTCTCACAGAGTCATGACAACACCCAAAGACTTATATACTGCCACCCAACACCCAGAGAAATATAGACACAACAACATAGACAGTACCCACCCTTGCAGACAGTCACACCAAGCCTCAGAGATTCACACACTCAGCCACTGAACCCTTACAGACTTACACAGTCCCAACAGTCAGAGGCTTATACCCACAGTCAGGTGAAGCTTGAAGATGCCACAGCACTTAGGCCCATACCCGGTCATTCCATAGACACAAGCATGTCAGCTCCTGGAGACCAACACTGTCACATCAGCACTCAGGGGCAGAGTTGAGACAACATCCCAGACCTCAAACGATCACTTTTCTTTTTTTTCTTTTTTTTTTTTTTGAGACGGAGTTTTTGCTCTTGTCACCCAGGCTGGAGTGCAATGGCGCGATCTCGGCTCATGCAACCTCCGCCTCCTGGCTTCAGGCAATTCTCCTGCCTCAGCCTCCTGAGTAGCTGGGATTACAGGCACGTGCCACCATGCCCAGCTAATGTTTTGTATTTTTAGTAGAGACGAGGTTTCACCATGTTGACCAGGATGGTCTCGATCTCTTGACCTCGTGATCCACCCGTCTCGGCCTCCCAAAGTGCTGGGATTACAGGCTTGAGCCACCGCGCCGGGCCACTTTTCTTTTTTTTTGAGATGGAGTTTTGCCCGGGCTGGAGTGCAATGGCACGATCTTGGCTCACCACAACCTCCACCTCCCGGGTTCAAGTGATTCTCCTGCCTCAGCCTCCTAAGTAGCTGGGATTATAGGCATGTGCCACCACCCCTGGCTAATTTTGTATTTTTAGTAGAGACAGGGCTTTTTCATGTTGGTCAAGCTGGTATCGAATCCTGACCTCAGGTGATCCACCCGCCTTGACCTCCCAAAGTGATGGGATTACAGGCATGAGCCACCTGGCCGTTTTTTTTTTTTTTCGTGGGGTGTGGGGATGGAGTCTCACTCTGTCGCCCAACCTGTAGTGCAGTAGCACAATCTCGGCTCACTGCAACCTCCACCTCCCGGGTTCAAGCGATTCTCTTGCCTCAGCCTCTCAAGTAGCTGGGATTAGAGCCCTCCGCCACCACGCCCAGCTAAGTTTTGTATTTTCAGTAGAGGCAGGGTTTTACTGTATTGGCCAGGCTGGTCTTGAACCCCTGCCGTCAGGTGATCCACCTGCCTCGGACTCCTAAAGTGCTGGGATTACAGGTGTGTACCACCATGCCCGGCCTTGGCTAATTTTTGTATTTTTAGTACTAGAGATGGAGTTTCACCATGTTGGACAGGGTGGTCTTTTTTTTTTTTTTTTTTTTTTAAACATGGGGTTTCAACTTGATGGCCAGGCTGATCTTGAACTCCTGACCTCAGGTGATCTACCCACCTTGGTCTCCCAAAGTGCTACGATTATAGGCGTGAGCCACCGCGCCCGGCAAGCCAGGGTGGTCTTTAACTCCTGACCTCAGACAATCTGCCTGCCTCGGCCTCCCAAAGTGCTAGGATTACAGGTATGAGCCACTGCACCTGGCTTCAGTCATTTCTGCACCCAGGGTCCCCTTCAGTATCACACCACTCTCCAGAGACTCACGCAGACACATGCATCCGGAGACTCGGTCATACCAAACTGGAGATCTGAACTTACAGTTGTAGCAACAGTCAGAAATGTACACAGAGCATCTCCCAACACCCACAATCTCAGACAGTGATTCTAACACATGGTGTCTCACAGAGTCAGGCTGACATCCAGGGAGTCACACACTCAGCCAGGCCAACACCCTGCAGCTCCCAGATGGCACCACTCCCACACCCATAGGTTCACACAAGCCATGTATGTAGTTACTAACGGGCCTCCCAAATGCGGTGGACTCAGCACCACAGACACGCTTGTACACCTGGGTGCCTGCCCACAGCCATTCATCCTGGGTCTGCCCCAGCCTTGAGGGGTTTCCCTGGGAGGGCAAGGGGATAGACCCCTGGGCCCTGTATCCCCCTGCCTACTGTCTGCTGGCCCACAGCTCCTCATCCCCTGTTCCCCAGGGGCAATGCCCAGGCTGGGCTGAGGGTAAAGCCTCCCAGGTAGACTAAGGTGATGACTCGTAGTGACTCTTTCCCACCTGTTGCCTCCAGATGGCCCCCAGTCCCCGGGTGCAGGTGGCCCTGCCTGCTCGGCCACCAACCTGAGCCGCGTGGCGGGCCTGGAGAAGCAGTTGGCCATTGAGCTGAAGGTGAAGCAGGGGGCAGAGAACGTGATCCAGACCTACAGCAATGTCAGCACTAAGGTGAGGCAGCATGTGCACACATGCCATGTGCACACACCACACCTGTGCACACACCCACTCAAATGCACACACCACACCTGTGCACACAAACTCCACCACACCGGCACACCCACCCGCATGTGTACACACCCACACAAATGCACACACCACACCTGTGTACGCACACTCCACCACACCTGCACACCAACCTGCATGTGTACACACCCACACAAATGCACACACCATACCTGTGCACGCACACTCCACCACACCTGCACACCGACCCGCATGTGTACACACTCACACAAATGTGCACACCACACCTGTGCACACACACTCCACACCTGCACACCCACCTGCATGTGTACACATCCACTCAAATGCACACACCACACCTGTGCATGCACACTCCACACTTGCACACCCACCCGCATGTGTACACACCCACACAAATGCGCACACCACACCTGTGCACGCACACTCCACACCTGCACACCCACCTGCATGTGTACACATCCACTCAAATGCACACACCACACCTGTGCACTCACACTCCACCCACATCTGCACACCCACGCACATGTGTACACACCCACTCAAATGTGCACACCACACCTGTGCACACACACTGCACACCTGCACACCCACCCACATATGTATACACTTGTCTGTGTGTGCACACACCCACTGGAATGTGCACCCACACCTGTGCATGCACACCCACATGTGCATACCCACCCACACGTACACACCCACCCGTACGTGAACACACCTGTCCATGTGTGCACACACCCACTCGAATCTGCACCCACACCTGTACATGCACACACTCACTGGCATGTACCCCGCATCTGTACATGCACACACCTACCTGCACATGTACACACTTACCCACATGTTCACACACCCGTATAAATGGTTACACACATGCATACACCCACCACATGCACATACACCTGCATGTGTATGCACACACCCACGTGCACACACCAGCCTGTGTACCTACACCCATGTGTATGCACACACACCTACACATGCACACACCTGCCTGTGCACCCACACCTGCCCTTATGCACACACACCTGCATATGCACACACCTGCTTGTGCACCCACACCTGCCCTTTGCTTATGCACACATACCTGCACATGCACATTTGCAGTGCACACGCACATGTACACACTCGTGTGCACACTCACCCGCCGATGTATCTGCACAGAGACCGCACATGTATGCACACACCTGTGAGCAGATCACAGGCTGGGGGCACAGGGTGCAGCCCACAGCTGCCCCATGGTAGGCTGGGACCCTCTGGGTTGGGGACATACTGGCGATGGGTGTGACTTGCTGGCAGGACTCAGGCATGGGCAGCTCATGGGGGTGTATAGGAAACATGACTGTGGGTGATGTCAGACATGTGATAGATTGTCTCCCCTCCCCATGCAGTCCCCATGCAGGGCCTCAAGTGTACCCACAGTCAGGGAAACACACAACCCCTCACTGCTGACAGTTTCTCCTATTACAAGCACGCACAGTCATGTCAATGCCTTGACATACACACACACCATCATCAAAACATCTAGAAACACACACACACACTCACGCACACACAGACTTTCTCATACTAGGGATACACATCAGTAACAGGATCTAGCAACACATGGAGAATCGTACCACAGCCACATCTGTATACACACACACACACACACACACTCTCTCTCTCTCTCTCTCTCTCTCTCTCTCTCTCTCTCTCTTACAGCCATACCCAGAGACTGGTGCACATGGCCACAAACACACTGACATTCCCTGTCCTGCCAATCAGCTCTAGCAACACGCAGGTCTGCATCAACACCCAGAGATTCCCACACCGCAAGCACAGGCCGGCCTACAGCTAGAGAAATCAGGTCCAGACTCACAGGTTGCTGTGCGCATGTCCTCCCCTGTGAATGTCATATGGAAGGACACACTGTTTAGATTTTTTAAAATGACATTATTTTATTTATTTATTTTTTGAGATGGAGTCTCACTCTGTCACCCAGGCTGAAGTGCAGTGGCATGATCTTGGCTCACTGCAACCTCTACCTCCTGAGTTCAAGTGATTCTCTTGCCTCAGCATCCCAGGTACCTGGGATTATATGCATGTGCCACCACGCCCCGTTAATTTTTGTGTTTTTAGTAGAGACGTGGTTTCACCATATTGGCCAGGCCAGTCTCTAACTCCTGACCTCAGGTGATCTGCCCACCTTGGCCTCCCAAAGTGATGGGATTACAGGTGTGAGGCACCTCACCCAGCCTAACATTATTTTATTTATTTTTTATTTTTATTGAGATAGGGGTCTCACTATGTTGCCTAGGCTGGACTCGAACTCCTGGGCTCAAGCAATCCTCCTGCCTTGACCTCCCAAGGTGCTGGGATTACAGATGTGAGCCACTGCACCCCATTCATCAATTGATGAACATTTGGCTCTTGCCACCTTTCTAGTTATTGTGAATAGTTTTGCTATGAACACCTGTGTACAAGTAATTGAACACCATTCTATGAAAATTTACAGTCTAGATCAGTCGCATATTTTTTTATGTGTATCTGAGCATTATATACAAAAAGAATAAGAGTTTCTCATCTCCTGGCTGGGCGCGGTGGCTCATGCCTGAGGCTGAGGTGGGTAGATCATGAGGTCAGGAGTTCAAGACCAGCCTGGCCAATGTGGTGAAACACCATTTCTACTAAAAATACTAAAAATTGGCCGGGCGCGGTGGCTCACGCCTGTAATCCCAGCACTTTGGGAGGCCGAGGCGGGTGGATCACAAGGTCAAGAGATCGAGACCATCCTGGGCAACATGGTGAAACCCCGTCTCTACTAAAAATACAAAAAATTAGCTGGGCATGGTGATGCGTGCCTGTAATCCCAGCTACTCGGAAGGCTGAGGCAGGAGAATTGCCTGAACCCAGGAGGCGGAGGTTGCGGTGAGCCGAGGTCGCGCCATTGCACTCCAGCCTGGGTAACAAGAGCGAAACTCTGTCTCAATAAAAAACCAAAAATAAAAAAAGTACTAAAAATAAGCCAGGCGTGATGGCGCACGCCTGTAATCCCGGCTACTCGGGAGGCTGAGGCAGGAGAATCACTAGAACATGGGAGGCGGAGGTTGCAGTGAACTGAGATTGCACTGTTGCACTCCAGCCTAGCAACAGAGCAAGACTCCTTCTCAATAACAAAAACAAAAACAAACCAAAAAAAGAGTTTCTTACCTCCTAAGAAAGAATTTCTGCCCCCCTGGGGGTGATACTGACCCAATGAAAATGAGTAGAGTAGGCCAGGCGGTGACTCATGCCTATAATCCCAGCATTTTGGGAAGCCAAGGCAGCTGGATCACTTGAGGTCAGGGGTTCGAGATCAGCCTGGCCAACGTGGTGAAACCCCAACTCTACTAAAAAAATACAAAAATTAGCTGGGCGTGGTGGTGCGTGCCTGTAATCCCAGCTACTCGGGAGGCTGAGGCAGGAGAATTGGTTGAACCTGGGAGGCGGAGGTTGCAGGAAGCTGAGATTGCGCCACTGCACTCCAGCCTACGCAACACAGTGAGACTCTATCTCAACAAAATAAAATAAAATTAATTAATTAATTGCTGCCAAAAGAGGTTGAATGGCTTGCTGGAAGTCACACAGATGTTAGGTGGCAGAGCCAGGGTCCAAATCCCTTGGACTATGTCACGCCACTGTACCCAGGAATGCATGGAAGTGCATTTATTTACTTATTTCTTTGTTTCTTTTTTTTTTTTTTTTTTTAAAGATGGGGTTTCACCATATTGGTCAGGCTGGTCTCGAACTCCTGACCTCAGATGATCCGCCAACCTCAGCCTCCCAAAGTGCTGGGATTACAGGCGTGAGCCACCGCGCCCAGCTTTATTTATTTCTTTACTTTGAGACAGGGTCTTGCTCTGTTGCTCAGGCTGGAGGCCAGCGATGCTATCTCAGCTCACTGCAGCCTCCAACTCCTGGGCTTGAGTGATCTTCCCGCCCCAGCCCTGAGTAGTTGGGATCACAGGTGCACGCCACCACGCCCAGCTAATTTTTGTATTTTTTGTGGAGACAGGGTCTTGCCATGGGTTGCCCAGGCTGGTCTCGAACTCCTGGGCTCAGCAATCCACCCGTCTCGGCCTCCCGAGGTGCTGGGATTACAGGTGTGAGGCACTGTGCCCAGCCTGCAAATGCGTGTTGTTACATCCACATGTCACCTAGGACCTGTGAGATGTGGCTGGACCCCAGCCGCCCAGGCTTCCTCTCACAGCCTGTCTCTGCCTCCAGGACCGGAAGCTGCTGCTGACAGCCCAGCAGATGTTGCAGGACAGTAAAACCAAGATAGACATCATCCGCATGCAACTCCGCCGGGCGCTGCAGGCCGGCCAGCTGGAGAGCCAGGCGGCCCCCGATGAGACCCAAGGTGAGTCCCTGGCCTCCAGACAGCTTAGCCTGCATCTCACCTGACAGGGATCAGCCTCTGGCTCCTGTAGTGGGTCCCTTTCTGGGGTAGGGAGGTGGGTCCTCGGACCTGGTGTGAGACTTCAACACATTCCTGACTCTCGCTGGGCCAGAGCTTCCCATTTTGTCCCATGCAAAGTTTGGATTACATCAGGCGTTGGTAAATTACCACCTTCAGACCAAATCTACCTGTTGTCTTTTTTTGTCAGTAAAGTTTTATTGGTACATAGTCACGCCCATTCATTTACTATGTTTTTGATTGCTTTTACGTCACAACAGCAGAGTCAAGTAGTGCAACAGAGCCTTGTCGGCTGTAAAGTCAAAATTATTTGCGGCCGGGCACGGTGGCTCAAGCCTGTAATCCCAGCACTTTGGGAGGC